GCAGTGCATCGTGTCAGAACTCACAATAAGGACTAAGGAGATGTTGTTTTTTTTCAGTTTATTCTGGTCACTTTGCAAAATCATGGGTTAATTAGGTTAAATGTGTTATAGTACAAATATATGTTGTTGTTTGCAGGAGGAATGAACCCGAACAAATGAGTTTATAAATTCAACAGGGACAGTGTATGTGGAGCACAAGGCCACTCAGGTTTTTCTGGGCCACACTGATAAGACTCCTTTAAACTTCCAAACTCCACCTGCTTATCTGAACACACACAAGACAGGGAAGTATGAACTCTGAGCTCCAAATCAAATGTTAGTCTGAGTCAGATAAACCTTGTGTATTTGAGGAATTTTGTGTGAAAAATAACAGAGAATACTCAGAATGCTTGACAATAGGGCTACTTAAAGGGCCCATACTACTCTATTTTCTGATCTATGTTATAGTGTTGTTTCCTCATCAAAAACATACTTGGAATTTTGTTTCATTCTCTCATGTTTAACACATAAACCCTGCATATTTAAGATGTTCTCTCAAACTGAAAACACTTTGTTCCACCATGTGATGTCATGTGGTAATTAAAGGAAATGCTCCTCTGTGTTTTTAAGGTCCATACTCTTTTGCTATAATAATCATTTGGATGATTTTACCCTTGGAATTTCCAATCTCTACTCAACTGAAGTTAAAAGATAGCTGTTAAGGCCTCATAGTGTCACAAGATGCAACATTTTGAACTTTGGAAATGTAGACAGACTAATAATAAAGGGTTACTCAAGCATTTGTGACTGAAACAAAACATAACTCTGGGTATGCTTTTGATGAGGTAAGAACATTATAACATGACATTATCACAAGAGTCAATTTTCTGTAATATAGGACCTTTAAATTGACTACTGGAAACTAATAATTGACCTTTTGGGGGTGTTGTCAACCTAGAGTTTTCCCCAATGTCAGTTTGCTAAACATTCTGTCAAACGGTAGTCCACCCTTGCTTGTCTTCTTGGCGTATTGGTTATATAAATGCAATTATCTAAAAAAAAAAAACGTTTGTACTTCTTAAAAGACCTTAGTTCAAACACGCACTAATCATGTCGACATGGGAGAACAGAATGTGAAAAGTGACAAAGACAACTTTTTACTTTGTTCTTTGTACTCTGTACTCTGCTCATGCATTTCTTAATTGAGCTTGAGCCAGCTAAAACAGCAAAAGTATAAAACCTGTGAAAACAATCTGGTCTAACCTGGTCTGGCTCTCACTTACCTAAGGATAATTTGTGTATTGTAAACAGTAATAGTGTCACTGCCCTGAAACAAATGCATCCACCCATTTGGTTTCAAGCCTTCGCAATTATGACCAGTTGATTTGGCATTCAGTTTCATCCTCTTCTCTTCTACATGACATTCCACCAGACCGAATGTGCTGAGTGGTGGTTGGTGCCACTCAGCTTGGCAGTCATGTTCCTGTCAGTCAACCACTGGGCAGCTACGTAGCTTGATTATGAGTGAGTGAGTGAATAAATAATTCATTATTTCACCTAATATAAGAGTTAGTAAAATGTATATCTAATCTGTTTGAACTTCAATGCCTTCTGGTGTGGTGTTGGGTAAATAATGCAAACTAGAGTCAAAGTTATGATACATTTGCATCTTTAATTAGATTTCCTGTGAACTGCTCTGTTTATTCCTGAAGAAAAACCAAACACAAAACGCTCTCTCAAACTCCTGAGTCAGTGCCTCTCCTCTCATATCATAGCCTGGTCTGCCTAATAGCACAGGATCACTATATTGACTGACAACACATGGAAATACATACAGTACATGACTTCTCCATGGCTGTAACCTGCGCCACATCAAATGAAAACGCTTTTGTGATTTTCCAAACATGTCAGCTAAACAGCAGCTCTCCAGGGCAGGATTGTGGCAGCTTAATGCTTCTGAGGAGATAGAGGGGCTCAACAGTAAGACAGCTTGTATAACTGTCGAATTTCTGATGTTGGAAAAAGAAATTGTATGTGACTCAGGTTTGTGCCGGTCGAACAATAGTCCTACCAGTGCAGAAATATCAGAGAGAGACCCAAAGCAAATAAAAGCACACTTCTGCCAGTCAAACCACGGAGAGCTTTTAGCAACGACCCCCAATGACTCCCACCTAACAGAGGCGACGCATAATGTCAACTGAAAAATGAAATACAACTTAAAACATGGACAAATGGGAAGCAGTTATCGTACTACAGGTAGAAACACTTTGTACATAGGCAGAATTGGGAGCACTGGAAAACAAATACAAGACTGAAAAATAACTGTTGTGTGTGTGCGCTGTAAACTTTCTGCATATTCATTGAAGCTTAGGCAAGGGATATGTGAAGCAGAATATGTTCTTAACTAAGGGGTGACCAATGGATTCACTACATGAGAGAGTAGTCTGTTTTTTGGATAGGCAGTAGAATTTCATGGCTCTTATAGAAGTAATGCAACAAGCCTCCCACCAACCTCTCAGCTGCAACAGGTCTGACTAAATGATTATGTTTTATAGGGAAATGTTCGGGGTGTGGGGGTGTTATTCAAATGACTGTAATTTGTAGCCTTTCAAAATGGAACACACTTGGAAGGGTCTATACTGATAATAGTAATAACTGATAATTAAAATGTATGATAATCAGTTGGCAAATCTGACAGAAAAGTGACACAGACGCAAACATGATTGAGCAAAGGTAATTTGTTGTGGATTTTTTTCCCCTAAAATATTCTGCACATAACTTGCTTGAACCCTTGTCCGTAAAAGTGCACTATGATGCAACTTTTTTGGTGGATGGTTCGTCACGTGCTTGTTATTGCTTTGACTTAAATTTTCCACAGTATGGCATTAAAGTTTTCTCTTTCCATGGAGTTGAGCAGGTGACACAATCAGGCCAGATCTGTGAAAAGGTGAGCCCGCAAACAGTAAGAATGCACATTTTAAGGCATTACTGAGCAGTAAAATCACCCTTTTATTATTAAATATGCAAGATAGAAACCATTACAGGTAAAGCAATACGTTGTTCAGCAGAGACAAACAGGTAGCAGACCCTCCACCAGAAAATACATAGTGTCCCTTTCAATGTAAAAGATTTAGGTATCTATACTTCACTTTAGTCAATTTTAAAGTGTATAATTCTTACTTTCACTTCACTACCTTTGAGTGAAGGTATCCTTACTTTCTACTCCACTACATTTTTTAACTGGACTGTAAAGTAAAAGTACTATTTATTATTGTTTGAGACCTGCTGAAAAGCCTGAGGGGTTTATCTTTAACACATTTATAGTTTGAGCAAACAAAAATATCTAACTAAAAACAGCAAGGAAAATTTTTACTTCAATTGTTTCTGTTGAATATGTATATTTATTTTATATTTTATTTCTATATTTTATTTATTTTATCAAAATCACTACTCATTTGAAGCTTTATTATTAGATCACAAAAACTGCGCAAAATACTTTTACTGTTTAAAGTATATCTTTAAACAGGTATTTTTACTTAAGTCGATTTTTTCATGGGATTGAGGGTTTTTATTATTATTATTTTTTTTGCTCCAGTATCTGCACTTTTACTTAAGTAACAAAATCTTACTTCTTTCACCACTGCCCCCTTTAATATCTAGACGTAGCTGCTTTACTTCATTTGCACCTGCTGTGTAAATATCTGTGACAGCACAGTTCACTTGGGCAGGGTTCACGGCCACAAGCACCTGATGCATATTCATCCTCCTGTAACCAGCTGGCACCTGCAGAGCCAGTCCTAATGGCTCCAAGCACCGACAAATCTCCCCCAAAGTCTCCTCTGGTTTGGACACCCGCCCGGAGGAGTGAGAGGTGGAGGAGGCTCAATTGGGTAAGGGGGACCAGAGCGTGAGGCCAAGCAGCTGGGAAAGGATGTGGGCAATAGGGCGACTCCAGCGAGGTGCCTTTTGATGGCTGTTACATCCCACTTGACATCATGAATCACACCACTTGCTCATGTAATCAGAGAGAACATTAATTCTGCTGCGGTAACGGAGAGCACGCACAAAAACATCAGTATTTGAACATGGCGACACACACGCACACAACAACAATAGTTTCACATTTTGCACATTTTACCAAAACGTCTCGAAAACAAAGACACGTTTTTAGAGATTACATTCGTTCCAAGCGACGCTGATGGTTACAATATCTTGATAATTAGACAAACAGAGTAATTACATCATGGCTAAAACCTGAGTTATTTCAAAGTATTCCCATATGAAACAGCACAACAATGTACTTAAAAATAAATGATGCCTTAATATTCTCATTATTAGCATGACTAAAGCTATGCTAGATATTCACACACATTGACGTAATGGATTTTCATAGACTTGTATTATGATAAGGTCCGGTCAAAACACAGAACCACGTTAAAGAAAGCGGCAATACTTTCTGAAGCACAATAGCCTCAAAAATAACAATTAAAGTGCATATGACAGGCTTTTACGTTTCTTGGGGGGATAGTACCTGTGGTAAATATGTATCAAGTGAAAAACTAAAATTGAAAAGAAAAGAACAAAAATACAGAAATGTACAAAATACCTCTACCTATGTCATCAACAGCATAACTTTAAGTATAATCATAACTTCTGTAAATGTAAATTAGACAAGTTTGCACTCTTGTTAACATTATAGTTGCTAGATAACAGTTATGGTTCTATGTCATATCTGCTGCCCATGACCAACCAGGAAGTAAAATTATAAATGTATAAAATAAATAAATAATGAAGGCAAGATTTGTAGTCAAATCTAAATATAATGTTTAAATATAATCTTTTAGTGAAATGAGTAGCCTAACCTGTCATATGCACTTTAAGATGGGAATTTATACACATTTATAACACAATATTCCAGTCAGTCAGTTTTATCTGCCCTTAATATGAGCCTTGGCCTGGAAAAAGAGCCCCGGTAATGTCCATCTTCTTCTGGCTTGTCTCCGGTGAATGCAGGTGTGGTGAATGGAGTGGACAGTCTCTGGATCAGGTTGAGCAGGTGGCTGTGGTCGTGGCTTCTTAGCATGGGCCCAGAACCCCATGACCTCTGGGTCACAAAAAGTCCTCATAGTCCAAGAGCTTGGAGTGCTGCCGCGTCTTCCACAGCCGATAAAGGCGGAAGTCAAAGTACATCTCGATCATCTCTTTGCCTGGATACAAAAGAACAGTCAGTGTGAGTGGGGTGTGTGTGAAATGTGTTTGAGTGATAGCAGTGGGTATTGAAATGATTGTTCCTATTCATTTTCAATGCAAATTTATTCTGGATATATACTATTAAACGGCACAGTATTAGAAAATGACTATGCAACAGTTTTACTTTTGTACCTTTTTCTGAAAATTGTAACCTGTAGGTGTAGTTCTGCATATGCATTGGCAGCATTTTTTAATTGATTTATTTAAATATTTGGCTTTTCTCAATATTAAAATAAGCACATAACAAACAAAACAAAAAACTATGTCACTCCTTCATTGTTTTTCCCTTGACCCTCCCGACATCTCCTCACATGCTACATTGGTAACATATCTAACTCTTTAAACAATTTGTAATCAAACAATGTTATTTTAAGTAAATGTCTTACGCATTGTTACTGATGCCATAACATTTTGTGTTGCTATTATGAAGCTATTATGTGGCACAACTTCACAAGTTAGGCATCAAGCAGAGAAAAATCACTTGAAGAGTGAGAGGTGAGTGGGGGAGGAGGCTCAGGAGAACCATGGAATAATGGTGGTCACAGTGACTCAACGGGGTGCCTTAGGTAAAGCTTCCACTTGACACCATGATTCATGATTGTGCAATCAGAAAAGCAAATTTTAGAGTTAGTTAGGTTACTTTCTTGGCAGTTACATTGAATTTTATCTTATGGTTAGTTTTGAATCTTATTGCCTTGCAACACTGAAATTATTATATTTAAAGATACACTATATAATTTTTCTGGTAGAAAGTTCATCATTTTGACTCCAAGGAGAAGTTAATGCTTTGTCTGGTGTGTTTCAGTTTGGCATTAAACATTTAACTTATGTTTATTCATGTCTATGTTTTAATACCTTACTTAACACATTGAAAAACATGCATTCTTATTTGAGCGGGGTTGCTTCTCCACAGATATGACCAGCTTCACCTTAAGTAAAGAGATAGCAATACATGGAGACAAATAGGTGACATGCCACTTGAAAAGTTAGTGGACCTTTCAGTGGTAAAGAATTAATCCTGATATTGACTTCATTAAAAAAAAAAACATTGTCTCAGTGGTCATTATGTGATATATATTAGTGGTGCACAGTCATGACATAAGAGTCTCACCCTGCGCAGACAGCTCCAGCGGTGACTCAAACTCCACTGAATAAGGCCTCATCAGATTCTTCAGTTTCTGGAACAGCTGTTGCCCGCAGATAAGAGAAAAGAAATGCACACTCCAATTAATCCTGTACTGCACTTGAAGACACTCACAGCAAGAGATCTCCCATCCCCTCACATCAAAACACAAACAACTATGGTCATAAATCCTGCTCATTATAAAAGACCAGGCACACATGCATTCTTCCTGTGCAGGTAACAAGGACAAGACCACCAAACGTCAATTTGGCTTTGATTTATGGGACCCCTACCACTCTAGAGTTGTAGGAAAATTAACAGTCTCCCCATGTGCGCAAGAATGTGAAAGTTAAGTATGCAGAAGTAATCCTTAAAAGCCTGCGCCAGAGATATCAAACACTAAAATATCTTTGTTTCTACTTTCTAATGCCAAAATGATAGAAAAGGCGTGGAGCTTTCATTACTTGGCAGCCCTTTGAAAATAGATAAAAGCAGGAGGGATGCCAGATTGAGAAAGGAGGAAGTGTCTGGGGAGATACAGGTGGAGAGGTTGAGAGGTAGAGGGGGGATGCAATGGCTTGAGTCACCTGGACGAGCCCACAGTGCATTGGCCAACAGAGACTGGGATTGTGCAGACAGAATCAAATAGCTAAAGGGGAGTTATATGATGTACATTGTGAAACTGGGTCAGGCTGTGTCCTTTTCAGGTGTGCATCATTTTAGACCTCCAAAAAGTTTGTACTATTCTAACATATTTTGGAGTCTATAACAGATTACTTTATACTGGGGCTAGGGCAACACACTGATACATAACCTATTTTTAAAAGGTCTGGTAAGGTAAAGGACACCTGTGTGATACCTAACCCACTCAGCCACTCTGCCGCTAGTACACATTAAAAGTCTACTGTTAATTTGCATTTTTACTGTGGGGGACATCACTGTTGAATGACCTTTAGACATATGTTTAAATAATACACTATGGTGATTTGTTTAATTCAGTGAAATATGATTGAGTGAAAATTTGCACTTGAATGGCACTTGTATTTGATTTGTTTACTCACTCAAAAATGAATGAGAATAATGCACTTAATTTATATAACGCTTTTTTTTGGACAAAGGCTTTAAAGTGTATTATTCATTCACTCCATAATCGGCAGTAATAAGTTATTATAGCGCACGCTGCCAATATGAGCCCATCCTACACCCACCATTCATTCATTCACTCACATAGTCAAGGTGGGTGAAGTGTCTTGCAAAGGACACAACAACAGTATGGGCAGCAGTATCTGCAGCCACAGTGGCAGCTGGTATTTCCATCTGTCTTCCATCCCAGTATTAACCAAGCCCAAATTTGCTAGATCTAACAAAACTGGCCATTTTTAAGGTGGTGTGGCCGTAGTAGGTAAATGTATCTGGGATGCAATATACTTTATAATAATGTAGAGCATATTAACCACAGAATGGTTTGTAAATTAATTTGTTTTCCTATGAGACAATGCATATCACAGTTCATTTGAAACAAAATGTTATATATCTGTCTTCATTTCCACAAAAAATGCAGTAGCCTCCCACGTGGGAAATCACTCGTAGATCTTTGGGACTTTGCCAAATGCTAAAAACGCAGTATCCATTTTTCTTTTTGGATATGAGCACTTCATTTGTGTTTGGCTGGAGGCGGGCAGATATCAGGGATGCACAACGCGAACTGCCAGGCTGTCCATCAAGAACGCAGAGATCCACTTTATGTAACAAAGCGTTCTGGCAGACACACAAGGTTGGGTCAAACTAACATCTCCTGTCTGTGTGTGGGGTCTGCCTGCTTCTATTATTTCTTTAGAAGAGAGAGTGGAAGTTTTTCTTTTTGTTTGTTTTGTGTCAAGGTCAGTCAGAGTAGATCTCTGCTGTATCCACAAACATTTACATTACAGAAGCGCAGGTGCAGACAAGACACACAGACAATGGGTGAGCTCAGAGCTGGAATAAAAAAGAACTGTTCAACAAATTGAAATGACATAAAGGACAACAAAAGAGAGACTACAAATATTACAATGTCTCTGGGAGCTAGTAATGAGTACACCATATTTCTTGCAAAAAGTGGATTATTTTTGTTGTAATTTGTTGTGATGCTTATGATTAAAATTTGGTTGTGCATTGATGGATCTGTTTTCTGTCTTTAGCACTATCTGCATTAGTCAATTATAGACTTGGTGGAAAGCCAAATAGATAAGAGCAAACATTTGCATAAAAATGTCAAATATAACACTATTAACCATTTACTTGCTGATCATGTAGTAATTGCATCTGACACAGGGATAGATCTGACTAAGATACCTCCTCTCGACAAATGGTAGATAACAGATCTACCCATTCTTGCTCTGCGTTGTATCACCAAAGACATCTAGCACACACAGGCTTGTAGTATCTGCAGTAATCTCACAGTAATCTCCTTCACTGATGGAGTGGCTTTGGTCAAGTACCTTCTCTCCGTTCGGGTTCCCCAGGACATAACAGCCCATGATATGAATGAGGTTTGGTTCAGGGTTGATCTTGCTCATCAAGCGACTTAATCTCTTCCAGAATCTGTGAATAAATAGTTGTTTTAACTACACATTATTCTTCAGACCATCAGAAAGCAGACTATAACTTAACCTAAAAAAAAAAACCTCTCTGATCGGAATTGTTCTGAGCTTTTATAAGTATGGCCATGGACAGAATGAGAATGAGGAAAAATTGTATATTCTATATGCAGTCATTGGCAGCAAAGTTCAGTTGTGATTCTAGTTTCTTTTTAGTTTCATTTTTTCTGGTAATAGCATAGACTACTTTCCTTTTAAGAGTAAAAATTTGTATTTGAAATAGATAAGTTGAGGGAATATATTGCATTGTAGAAGTATTGATCTAACTGTGAATCAGTGTAACTTACTGGCTCATGTCCTCTTCCTTTTCAACCTTGGCAAATGTGGCCACTTTATTCTTGAGTAAGTACAGATGACCAGGACCGCCCTGAAAGAGAGCACACTCTAATTACCCTCTTGAGGACTTCAGTGCACAGGCACAGTGCGGACATGTTTGCTCAATGTAAATACTGCACTGGGGATGAAGCCTATTATCTGCTGTTCGGACACAGTTTAAAATGAAAGTACAAAGAAGGCAAGAAGAGGGCAGGGGCAGCAAAAACAGTGTATGATATATGGAGCAAAGGGGGAAAAATGCACTTCTTGATCATGGTGGTTATACTTTTTCTATACAAAGGGCAAGAGGTAAATCGATTTAGGTTCTTCTTACTGATATGAACTACACATTTGAGCATTAAATAGCCAATATTAATCTAACTCCACTTCTTGAGCTGTTAACCATGTTATAGCATTCTTTCACAAAAAACACCCCCTGTGTGTTTGTTTTCATTTGTGCATTTTTGACTACTGCTGAATAAGCCTGTATAAGAAACAGCTATTGTTTGCAGCCTTATTCAAGCTGCTTCACTGCATTCATTCTTCACACAATGGCATTTTGTTTGAACAGAAATAATTCAGTACATATTTAAATTATATTTATTATTAAACATTCAGCACTGCAAAGATTAATTGTTCAACACTAAGACCATCCAAAACCTTTTCAACAGTGGTCTTCCATTCTACCAAAGAACATTTCCTGCCTCTAACCTGACAAAAGATGAGCATTCTCCAGAACTTGCTGCCTCGTCTGTACGCTGTGAGCTTCTTCTCTATCTCCTCTGTAAAAGACACAAGAAAAGGACTTTAAAAAGAGCAAAGCAAGCTAGAAAAGGATCCACATAAAGAAGACATTATAAAGGGGAATCTCTAGTGCTTGAGTTCAAGAACAGTGTAATACGGATACAGTGGAGCAGGGGCTGAAGTTTATTTATATTTGATCCTATAGCAAAAGGAGATGTCATGGTAAAATAAAATAAGAAAACACTACAAGAAAACACTAAGTATATGCAATGACTTCAAATTCATGAATAATGTATGGGTATCAGTGTACAGTGGATCATTATAACAAGTCTATGAGACCATTTAGTGGTAATAAACCAGACGGTTATTAATAAAATGTTAATTTGCATATATTAGCATCATTGTTTCAGCCATTTTGCCCGGTTCAGCTCATAATTGCAGTTGTAGCACAGGATATTGCTTTTTCCCATTTCACATCATTATTAAAGCGTCTGATTAAAAGAAGTCTGCAATACACTTTCAACATAATATGTATAATACGCAAAATGCCAAGTTTGATTTGCATTTGTCATACAGCATAATTCACTATATTATGTTACTGTGTATTGAGTTTTCTTCTATGCTTCATAAACACCAGCACCATAATACCAAGTTATTGGTATTTTCCATGGGAACATATAATTCACACCAAAAAAGTTATATACAACTGATTCTCAATCTTTTTTTTTTCCTCTGTGACTGTGTGTGTGTGTGTGTGTGTGTGTGTGTGCGTGCGTGTGTGTGTGTGTGTGTAAGAGTCTGGGGATCCTGACTCATAGGGAATCACTGGTACATGCCAATCAATGAACATGAATATAACAGCTGACTATGGTTAGAGGATTATGCAGTTATATCTGATGCCTTTACTAATTCAGTGATATGTAAGTATTTGCTAAAATATATTAACAGCATAAATTAAACCATGTATGCTAAACATATGCTCATTCATCAGTTTTAGCTTTCTGTTTTTAAGATCCATTTTGAGCACTTATCACCATTGACAAGCTAATATGTTATTTTGCATTGTTAATCACTATGGAAACAGGGCTCATCACTCTCAAGCTCATCGTAGCTGGATACTGTGATTCAACTTCACCAACCAGACTTAACTTAAACTCAGATCAGTAATAAAAACATTTTGTGCAACACATCTCACATGCAGGGCTGTACACTCACCTAAAATGTCATCAAATGTGGCGTGTTCATGGTCCTATAGGAGTGAAAAGAGACGCATTAGCATTCATCAGAGCATCAAGTTTTCTAAGTGATTTTCTTATGCAGAGCAGGTGTAGGGCTGCTGAGCTGTCAGGGCTGTCTGCTACTGTGTTTGTGCTTAGACTCACATAGAGGATGGGGATGATTGAAGGGTCATCCCTGCGGATTATAGTGGGAACATACTCCGCCTTGGGGACCTTGGACGAGATCAGCTGCAGGTGAGAAAAAGAAAAATACCAGTGTAAGACTTTCATTTACTGATTCCTAGTGATTCTTTAAAGGTGCACTATGTAACTTTTCTGATGATAGGTATGTTTAAGTAGACTAACTAAGTGTGACGTCACCCATATAGTTCAGCTCCAGCCAAATGAAGCTCATCAACCCAAGCAGTTGTTGCAGCTGTTTTGGAATAGAGCTCCATATTTGGGATTCAACAGAAAGTGAATTGGAGCCAGTGGAGCACAAACATGCCCATGCTTACTTTCTGTTCAGAATGTGGGAGCTAGCAGGTTAGCTATGTTTATTTAAATGTACATTTCTATGGTTTTCTGCCATACCAGGAAATATTCCAGACAACTCAACAACCAGGTAGTGGACCCACCTACTCAAAATGCTACATAGTGTACCTTTAAATGAGAGTCTGTTTTATTTTGTTCTCCTTTACGTTAGTCCACATTTACTTTACTTTAGTCCCATTTTGGACCAGATTTAGCACCATGTTTGGACTTGGTATAGTCCTGATTTAGATCTGGTGTACTTGGAGTGCCAAATATTTTCGTAGGTGGTACTAGGTGTGAAAAGTTTGAGACTTTATTATAGAGAGGTCAATAGTGGAAAACTGACATAGATTCAAGCAGCAGCAGCAGGCTACAGGCTGTCTGCCTCCTCACTGCTCCAAGCACATATGGGATTGTTTTTCCTCAAAATACATTCTGTACATTATATAAAGCTAAGCAAAGATGAGATTTCCTGGCTCAATATGAGTTCTTAAGATGCGTCTTTATTGATGCTTTCGCAGTGCATATCTAGCCACCTGTAATATGCTTATGAAAGAAGAAGTGTCCTTGCTTTGATATTGTCTGGAATACAATAAAACCACTGTTTGTGATTTACTAGCAAATAGTAAAACCCTGAGATAGAAAACATAGCAAAACTTTGAGATAGTAAACAATTATCTTAATTGCTTTAGATAATCTAATTCAGTGATTGGAATGTTCCACCGTATGGCATTAAACATTGCATTTACTCACATACAGTTACTTAAAACTGTCTTGAAAAATGAATTCCTACTTTGAGTTAGCTTTTCTCTCCACAGATTTGACCTGTAACTTGGTGGCTTGGTGGTGTCACCTACTTGGCATCATCTCCATGGAAGAGTTTAAAGTCATACTGTGGAACATTCCAGGCAAAACAATACCATCTCCACAGAGACAAGCAGGTGGCATGCCCTCCACCAGAAATATTGCATACTGAACCTTTTAGAGTTTAAAATATTGTGCCATTCTGTTTTCCATTATTGGCTGCAGTTACATTTTTTCAAGCTTCATTAGCTTCATTGGTGAGTAACATTTATTTCAGACCATTTAATCATAGATGTTTATTTGAGTTTCAGAAGCAGCTGCCTCACCATAATTTTGGGTGGTACAAAATCGTCCCCCTCACACGCCTGCCTCTCCTGCTCCTTCTCCTCCTCCCAATCCATGCTTTCCTCCTGACCGCCCTCCTCCACGTTCCCACTGGATGCCTGCAAGTCTCCACCTGAAGCGAGAGAGAGAGAGAGAGAGAGAGAGAGAGAGAGAGAGGAGGGTCAATGATGTAAAGAGGAGGAAGAGGATAGGTGAGAGAGGAGAGGAAGAGGAAGGGGGCAAGCGTATGGGACTCTTAATGATGGGACACAGAGGAGTGACAGATGGAAGAAGGCTACTGCATAGACAGCTGCAGAGGAACACAGAGAATGAGTGATAGTGGCAGTGGCAGCAGAGTATTTCAGAACAGCTAACAAGGAGGGCAACCTGACTTTATACAGTAGCATGTATAAGTACTGTCTATACTCTGCCTATAACAGTATGTAATAGACCAGAAGCATAGTAGCCTGATGGAAAATAACTAAATACTTGCATTTGGGCAGGTCTTTAAAGTGCCTATGACAGGTTAGACTAGTCATTTCACTAAAACTCAGCTAAGACATTATACTAGTAAATAATAGAAATAAAGAAATAAAAGAAATAAGGATATCCAAAAACACCTTTATTTTGTTGAGATCATATTTCTACGATCTATCATTAAAAAATGTTTTTTATGGATAAATTGTGGCAAACTTTTGGATAGAATTCTTCCTAATGTTTAGGACTCTCTTCTTCCAGCAATTTGAACTTTTCTTCACAAACTGCTTCTTGACTGGTGTAAAGCTATCATATATATTTATAATAAGTACAGTCTGATCCCACCAAATTAAGCACAAATCTGTCATAATAAAAACCTTCCATGTGCACTTGAAACATGTTTGCACTTGCACTTGTACATAAATCCATCCATCCATTTTCGTCTGCTTATCCGGGGCCGGGTCGCTGGGGCAGCAGCCTAAGCAGGGACTCCCAGACTTCCCTCACCCCTGATACGTCCTCCAGCTCCTCCGGGGGAATCCCGAGACGTTCCCAGGCCAGCCGAGAGACATAGTCCCTCCAGCGTGTCCTGGGTCTTCCCCGAGGCCTCCTCCCGGTGGGACATGCCCGGAACACCTCCCGAGGGAGGCGCCCAGGAGGCATCCGGAACAGATGCCCGAGCCACCTCAACTGGCTCCTCTCGAGGTGGAGGAGCTCTACTCCGAGCTCCTCCCGTGTGACTGAGCTCCTCACCCTATCTCTAAGGGAGCGCCCAGTCACCCTGCGGAGGAAACTCATTTCGAGCGCTTGTATCCGCGATCTCGTCCTTTCGGTCACTACCCAGAGCTCATGACCATAGGTGAGAGTAGGAACGAAGACTGACCGGTAAATCGAGAGCTTCGCCTTTCGGCTCATCACTGCCGAAGCTGCATCGATCTGCCTGTCAATCTCACATTCCGTCCTCCCCTCACTCGTGAACAAGACCCCGAGATACTTGAACTCCTCCACTTGAGGCAGGGACTCTCCACCCATCCGGAGAGGGCAAGCCACCTTTTTCCGGTCGAGAACCATGGCCTCGGACTTAGAAGAGCTGATCTTCATCCCAGCCGCTTCACACTCGGCTGCAAACCGCCCCAGTGCACATTGCAGGTCCTGGTTCAATGAAGCCAACAGGACAACATCGTCTGCAAACAGCAGAGATGAGATCCTGTGGTCCCCAAACCGGACCCCCTCCGGCCCCTGGCTGCGCCTAGAAATTCTGTCCATAAATACAATGAACAGAACCGGTGACAAAGGGCAACCCTGGCGGAGTCCAACATGCACCAGGAACAGGTCTGACTTACTGCCGGCAATGCGAACACAGCTCCTGCTCCGGTCATACAGGGACCGGACAGCCCTTAGCAAAGGGCCCCGGACCCCATACTCCCAGAGCACCCCCCACAGGACACCACGAGGGACACGGTCGAATGCCTTCTCCAGATCCACAAAGCACATGTGGACTGGTTGGGCAAACTCCCATGAACCCTCGAGCACCCTATGGAGAGTGTAGAGCTGGTCCAGTGTTCCACGGCCAGGACGAAAACCACACTGCTCCTCCTGGATCCGAGGTTCGACTATCGGCTGGATTCTCCTCTCCAGTACCCTGGCATAGACCTTACCGGGAAGGCTGAGGAGTGTGATCCCCCTATAGTTGGAACACACCCTCCGGTCCCCCTTCTTATACAGAGGGACCACCACCCCGGTTTGCCAGTCCAGAGGTACTGTTCCCGACCGCCACGCGATGTTGAAGAGGCGTGTCAGCCAAGACAGCCCTACAACATCCAGAGACTTAAGGTACTCACCACGGATCTCATCCAACCCCGGAGCCTTGCCACCAAGGAGCTTTCCAACCACCTCAGTGACTTCAGCCAGGGTGATGGATGAGTCCGTCTCCAAGTCCCCAGCCTCAGCTTCCTCATCGGAAGACGTGACGGTGGGATTGAGGAGATCCTCAAAGTATTCCTTCCACCGCCGGACAACGTCCCCAGTCGAGGTCAACAGCTCTCCCCCCGCACTGTAAACAGTGTTGGTGAAGAACTGCTTCCCCCTCCTGAGGCGCCGGATGGTCTGCCAGAACCTCTTCGAAGCCGTCCGACAGTCCTCCTCCATGGCCTCCCCGAACTCCTCCCAGCTCCGAGTTTTTGCCTCCGCAACCGCACGGGCTGCAGCACGCTTGGCCCGCCGGTACCCGTCAGCTGCCTCAGGAGTCCCCCGAGCCAGCAAGGCCCGATAGGACTCCTTCTTCAGCTTGACAGCATCCCTTACTTCCGGTGTCCACCACTGGGTTCTGGGGTTGCCGCCGCGACAGGCACCACAGACCTTACGCCCACAGCTCCGAGCAGCCGCATCGACAATAGAGGCAGAGAATGAAGCCCACTCGGACTCCGTATCTCCAGCCTCCCCCAGAATCCGGGAGAAGTCCTCCCGGAGGTGCGAGTTGAAAGTCCCTCTGACAGAGGGCTCCGCCAGACGTTCCCAACAGACCCTCACACGCTTGGGTCTGCCAGGTCCCTCCGGCTTCCTCCTCCGCCAGCGAACCCAACTCACAACCAGGTGGTGATCAGTTGACAGCTCAGCCCCTCTCTTCACCCGAGTGTCCAAGACACGCGGCCGGAGGTCAGATGACATGACTACAAAGTCGATCATTGACCTCCGGCCTAGGGTGTCCTGGTGCCACGTGCACTTATGGACACCCTTGTGCTCGAACATGGTGTTCGTTATGGACAAACTGTGACTAGCACAGAAGTCCAATAACAAAACACCACTCGGGTTCAGATCAGGGAGGCCGTTCCTCCCAATCACCCCTCTCCAAGTGTCACTGTCGTTGCCCACGTGGGCGTTGAAGTCCCCCAGGAGAACAACGGAGTCCCCGGTCGGTGCACTGTCTAGTACCCCTCCCAAGGACTCCAAGAAGGCCGGGTACTCTGCACTGCTGTTCGGCCCGTACACCGACACCGCCGACACCACAGTGAGAGACCTGTCCCCGACCCGAAGGTGCAGGGACGCGACCCTCTCGTTCACCGGGGTGAACTCCAACACACAGCGGCTGAGCTGTGGGGCAATGAGCAGGCCCACACCAGCCCGCCGCCGCTCCCCGCGGCCAACGCCAGAGAAATGGAGAGTCCAGCCCCTCGCAAGGAGTTGGGTTCCAGAGCCCAAACTGTGCGTGGAGGTGAGGCCGACTATATCTAGTCGGTAACGCTCAACCTCCCGCACAAGCTCAGGCTCCTTCCCCCCCAGCGACGTGACATTCCATGTCCCCAGAGCTAGTCTCCATGTCCGGAGATCCGGTTGCCGAGGCCCCCGCCGTCGACTGCCGCCCAGATCTCTCTGCACCGGCCCCATATGGATCCTCCCGCGGGTGGTGGGCCCACGTGAGGACGGCCCCACGTCACTCCTTCAGGCTGAGCCCGGCCGGGCCCCGTGAGGGAAGGCCCGGCCACCAGGCGCTCGCTGGCGAGCACCCACCCCAGGCCTGGCTCCAGGGTGGGGCCCCGGTGACGCCAATCTGGGCGACGTAACTGGCCTCGTTGGTACACTTGTCATATAGGGCTTCTGAACCGTTCTTCGTCTGACCCATCCCCCCGGACCTGTTTGCCTTGGGTGACCCTACCAGGGGCATGAAGCCCCCGACAACATAGCTCCCGGGATCATTCGGGCACTCAAACCCCTCCACCACGATAAAGTGACGGTTCCAGGAGGGGTACATATAAATCACGCCATGTAATTGTCAGCTATATTTAAAATCATAGAAGTCATTCGGTACATAGTCCAATGAGATTCATTTGGTCTTCCGATATTTTATGTTATTAGGTTCTTTTCACATAACGTTTCACTTTTCAACATCACGTGACCACTCTGAGGAAGACCGCTAGTGAGCCGTCTAAACTGTCAGGTATGAAACAAAACTCTATGTCTGAAAAAATAACCTAATAACAGTCATTCAGTACAGTACAAATCTCAAATGTCCCAATCGATGCCTGTGTCACTGTTGTATCTGCTCCTTTCTACACATACAAACACACTGCAGCTGCTTTCAACGACCAGAGCCCAGAGAATATGCAGGTTATGGTTTGAAAAAGTTCAGCCAATTCATTGTTCATTGTTCATTTAATATACTAAAATTATTATTTTTTAAGTAATATTTTTAGTATTTTTAATGCATACCTTGTTCTTCTGTAAATAGAAGAATTTAGCAAATTTCCACATAGAGAGTAACTATAACAACAAAACACTAGGGCTGAACGATTTTAGATAGATATCTAATTGTGATTCAGTTTTTAATGATTTATGTTTTAATAAGATTTTAATCAGTGCTCATATTTTAAACACATCCAGGAGCATTAACATTTGAGAGAAGACTGAAAGATGAACTCTGAAATCTCAAAGACAGCAATTATTTAAAAAACACATAATGTTATCTGTGCCTTCTAACACTGTAGTTTACACCTTGAAAAACGTGTTCTGAAATACATGGGATTTTTATATTCATTTCAAACCTTGACAGCACGTTGTTACTTTAACTAGGTGGACTTAAAGTTTAAATAATTGAAGACAGCGCTGACCACCAATCAATGGCAGTGCACAGGCATATATTATTGACAACAACTTTACCCCAAGGAGTCTTTCTTTATACAAACCATTTATAACCCTAAAAAAAGACTATCTTTACTCCTCACAAAGCTACAGGAAAATCCCCAAAAGCATAGATACTGAAGTGTTGTACAAAAAGCAATCATTTCAAAGAATGCATCTTTAAAATTATTATTTAGATGGATTGAATGAAAAATGACACATTTTGAAGGATTGTGAACACATGAGATAGAGACAATAACACCTTTTTAGGAAGAAGTCAGGCACCACCTACACTATGCTATCATCATTATTCTTCATCTGAACACATTACAACACTGATGATGAAGGTGGAGGCGACATCACACACACAGACATCAACAAACGTAACAAACAGCACATGCCAACGCAGCAGCCTCTGAACGCAGCTCAACCAGATCTCAACTACACACACCATATACTCACAGAGTGTCCACTAGGGTCTCTGAGGACAGACCACAGGGCAGAGGGACATGAGACAAGGGTTGGTGGGGGAGCGAGAGTGCTCTGTAATGTCTTTGTAATGAACGGATTTGAAATAATGTAATCCACAATGGAATAAAAGATAAACTAACATAGTACATATTAACTGAACTTTTAGCATAAATCCAAAATCAGAACAAAAAACACAAACACACACACAAATGTTCTACTTGGTGTTTATTTTTATTTTTGTATATTCAGTGTGCAACTGCTAACCCTGAACCACCACTGACCTTAGAGCTTTAAGAGCTTGTCAAGCTTGATATTTTTTGCCCATTGTGACAATAATCATGTTTCAGTGGATGTGCGGATTTGCGGCCAATATAACATTACAAACTGAGGTCAGGATTGTAGAATTTTCACTTAGGCTAATGTCAAACCAGTGGAGATGTTGAGATGCTAAATACTAAATTCAAGTATTTTTACACTATATATATATATATAAAAAAAAAAGTGTTTCTCACCTTCCACGGTGGTAGGTCTCTCTCACCCTCATTCAGCTCGGGTCCTCTACCAGAGGCCTGGGAGCTTGAGAGTTCTGCGCAGTATCTTTGCTGTTCCCAGTACTGCACTTTTCTGGACTGAGATGTCCATTGTTTTTCCCGGTATCTGTTGAAGCCACTCTTCCAGTTTGGGGGTTACAGCCCCGAGTGCTCCGATCACCACAGGCACCACTGATGCCTTTACTTTCCAGGCTCTCTCCAGCTCTTCCTTGAGCCCCTGGTATTTCTCTAGCTTCTCGTGTTCCTTTTTCCTGATATTACCATCACTTGGTATTGCGATGTCCACCACCACGGCTCTGTTCTGTTTCTTATCCACCACCACTATGTCTGGTTGGTTCGCCATCACCATTCTGTCAGTCTGTATCTGGAAGTCCCACAGGATCTTGGCTCGGTCATTCTCCACAACCTTTGGAGGTGTTTCCCACCTTGATCCTGGGGTTTCCAGCCCGTACTCTGCACAGATGTTTCTGTACACTATGCCCGCCACTTGGTTATGTCGCTCCATGTATGCTTTCCCTGCCAGCATCTTACACCCTGCAGTTATGTGCTGGACTGTCTCAGGAGCCTCTTTGCACAGTCTACACCTACATATATATATATATATATATATATATATATATATTTATTTATTTATTTATTTTAAATTATTATTATTATTTTTACCATCAGTGATTTGTCCCAGATCTTTTTTCTGTTTGACATTGTTTTGGATAATGCACCTCAATGGACATATTGCACTGTGGCTTTTTGAAGTTTGACAGCAAGATCTATATAAAAATCATATGCATGAAGACACTGATTCCTCGTCACACTTCCTAACTGTGGTAGCAGTATGCATGTGTATGCTCATATCACAGTGACAGTGAATAAACCTGTGAGCTGATTACAGACCTTTTTCTATCAGACAAATGCTGCTAAATGGCTTTCCGCTCAGGAGCCACCTGCGTTTGAAATTAATTAATGACAAAATAGAGAGAGAGAGCGGAGACACAGTGAGCTGTAATCAACCTGTCAGTCTGGATGTGCAGGCACATCTGATCACACACTTGTGCAGACAATGTAAGCCTCTGACATCACCACAGGCCCAAGTTTGAGGTTACTTTTATGTAGTCTCTTTAGTATGGGGTTGCCACAGCAATTCATACCAAATAGTGTGCAATAATTCACATAATCATTTCTTACTCTATCAGGGCTTGAAAACAGCATTACTTTTGACCATATTCTCATACAACAGCTAACAATATACTGTAACTAACTAGAGTATATAGTAAGTGTGAATGACACTGGCAACCCTCTATTGGTGGACAACCCAATAAGCTTTCTACACCATGCACTACTGCATAAAAATAAAGCTCCTCTCATTTCAAGTTTGTCCTATGATACCTACATGGCAGACTCTTAACAGACTTAGGCCATCTTCCAACAAAGGTTATGAGATGTCTCCATAAAGGGATATACAACACATGTGTCATGCACATACAGGCTCTGTGTCCACTCACTGTCTTTGTTCTCATGAGTAGAGTCAGTCTTGACAGGGGTGGGGTCACTCCAGGAGCGGCTGAAACTCTTCGATCTACGCTCAGCGAAAGCTGGTGCAGGTGGAAAGATAGTCACGCCCACACACACACACACACACACACACACACACACACACACACACACACACACACCCACAGTGTCCCATCTACACTCTACAACAGCTAACACAGGACCAGGATGCAGCTACAGTGAGGTAAGGAGACACAGGGCCTTTCTGTACTAGCACCACAACTCACGAGAACAGCAACTCTCACTCTCACACACCTGGTTGTAAAGGGGGTGATGCCAACATTTGGGAGACACAGCCAGATCAATGCATTTCTGATTATATAGCCCTATTTGAACTATATAGATTTCAGATTGTGTCTCACAGCTCTCTCATTTCACTTTTAATTGGTTTCAGCCATGTCTTGTTCAAACTTGACCCACTTCTCAGTTGTTCTTACAAAACACTTTGTATAATGTGATAATTATCTAAATCAAACTACTGTTTCAAAAATGGAAGGTGAAAAAAGTGACTTTATTTGTAGAAAATGTGAGACAGAGATAAATATAGTGTTATGGGGCAAACTGTGAGCAAGTGACAGGTGGATTTATCCAGTTGCAAAGAAGCGCGAACTTTCAGAAGCAGATGACCTTACCTCTTCAAGGTAGTATAAAGCCACTGTTTGCATGAATCATGATAAAAATCCAAATATTGATTTGACTCCAAGAAAATGTTGATGTCATATTTTTGGCACATCAACCATGCCTATGTGTGGTCTCTTGCCTGTAGAGTTACACTAATGCTTTGGTTGACATAACTGATCCATATGTCATGTGTTTTACAATAAAATAAAAATTACACAGGGTAACTTTTCAGTCAGTATTGATCTTCTACATTAAAATTGTGTATGCACTGTTATTTCAGCATATACTGGCTGTAGATAATTGAACTTTCAGGCAACATAGTGGAAACTATAGCAACAACAAAGCAGAGGAGGGGCACAGACACCTATAGCGGATACATACAGAAACATGCACTGAGTCACTTTTCCTTCTCATCAAACAACCAGTAGCAGCAGCACATCTGATCTGAGTCCACACACCATGCATGCACACACGCACGCACACACAAAACCCACATATAAAACAGCAAACGCACATATGACAGTGGGGTGAACCAGAGAACAAACACTCCACAAATGTCTGACTCACTCTGCGCTTTCATCCGCCGGCTGCCCACCATCCGAAGATGCTTCCGGAAGTTCCTGTGGGCCCACGGATCAGAAGTGGAGGAGGGAGAATCCGGGCAGCGGAGGAACCCAAATGTAAAAGAGAGGAGAGGAGGGAGCAGTGGGCGGGATGTGAACAAAAGGAGACAAGAAGGAGATGTTACTTTTAGTAGCTGTGTCTAAATATGCAAATAATTATAGGTAAATGGGAGAAATTAGAGTGTTTTCCTGTCAGAGTGAAAGGAAAATACATGGTGTGGGTGCAGTAAGTGACTTTAGAATGGGCTTCAATCTGCCCAGCTATAAGCAAGCCACGGGTGCAATTAAACATAGACAAGGTATAATTTAAAGGTTTTGCCATATATCAACTTTGATATGCCATTTATAAACACAGGGCCACCTCAATTAGAACTGCATAAACTCACTGCAAAATGATCATTATGGTAATGTGAAAAACACTGCAGCTCTACATGATTCTGGTGTTTTTATTTCACTATTTTGTCAGTAAGTCATGATATGAACAGTAATAACAGACCAATCAGATGCCTTCTGTCCACAAGGTTGGACCCAGTTAGTGTTAGCAACAAGTTTTACACAAGTCCTGTTTAAATATGGCCACCAGTTTGTTTAAATAGATGAAGCTTAGTGGTGCGTGGCGCCACTTAAAGGTTGTATAGAGGATTTTCCAAGGAACGAGAAATCCAGCGACTGTTTGTCCTTTTTCAAATGTTGCGCATGCGTGAAACCACCCCCCTCCCCTACAGCTCCCTACGTAGAAACGCCTTCTCCCGCCTCCTCACTACGCCAGAAACAGGTTTGTTTACAGCCGGTGAGCTGCACATGACTTGTAAACAACTAACTACAGTGTTGGTTAGGCAAGGCGGAGAAGTGAGGAGCGGGGGGAGCGGGTGTGCGGACATTTCGTTCGCGGACGAGAAGTGAGGAGCAGGGAGAAGAGCGGAGCAGGGAGAGAGGAGAGAGGAGAGAGGAGAGGGGAGCGGTGCGCGGAGATTCCGTGCCCGTAGAAGTGAGGAGAAGGGGGAAGAGCGGAACGGGCAGCGGGGACAGGAGTAGGAAAGGGGAGCAGAGAAGGTTGCGCGGAGATTCAGTGCGAATGAACTAGCTACAACACGCAGCAGCAAGCGGACTTTTCTTTGCCTTGAAAATTACGTTTTCAGACATAGGATATCGCTTTCGTGTCCTGAAAAACGTTTGACTAGCTCTTGGAAATAAAGTACGTTTTCATAATAAGCAGAAGTTACCTGTCCAGGAGTAATTTGGCGACCAATGCGTCAGTCTTTAGACCCTGCGTCTGCTTCAGTCGCGCCATCGCTCCTGGATTCTTGTCTGCCATTGCAACAAACTTTGTGCTAACTGCGAGGAAGATATAGGTCAAAAAAAGCCGCTAAGAACTGTTGCATTGGTGGAGTAAACAGCGTCTGTGCGTCTTGCGTCTGTGGACTGCGTGACAGGCGTACGTAAACCACGTACCGGCGGCGCGCAGGCAGGTCAGTTACGCTAGAAACGTAGGGAGTTTGATTGATAGCCTGTCAGCTAACAGATAACGAGGCCGTGTCGTTATCTATTGGCAAATGTTTAGCTGGCCCCACCACGTCCAGAGTTGATGAATTTTTATTCTCTTTTTTTTGGTCATCATAATTACAAGGCTACTGCACCTCTATAATGCTATCATTGACAACTTGAAACAAAAAAAAACAAAAAAAAAATCCTCCATACAACCTTTAAGTCTTTAGCGGCTAGGTATGTCCAGTGACTGTGCTTCCTGCCGACCATGCTCAGTACCACCGTCTTAATTAACATAAGCAGTTTGTTTTTACATTGCGGTCTATGAGAAAAATGCTTTCTGAGCTGCAGAGGATTTATTGCTACAGTACGAATGGACTGGCCTCTAGTCCACCTCTAAACTGGTTAAAGATAGCAGTAAAGTATCATGATATTATCATGACTGCTATTGCTCCTCTTTGCTAGCCCCCGCCCCAAACCAGCAGTGCAGGTAGGAAGGGGTGAGTACCAACTGGCTAGAGCAGAACAGTATGGTGTCCCTTAGTCCACTTCTATATACAGTCTATGGGTCAGCCCCAAGGCACATGTGGATAAATATGAAAAGTGCAAGTCCAGAGTCAAAGTATAAAGAGAAGTAGCCATCACTTGAAAAGCGTTTAGTCCCATTATCCACAAAGGCCTAGATTCCGCTGAGTTTCACTGACTTGCAGGCTTATCCTCTCATGATGTTCTATGCAGGAGCCCCAGATAAACATCCTTTGATCTCCCAGGCTCCCTCACATGTCACATCCACACTGGCTCAAGCTACCAGTCCACTGATGATTAATGAGCTCGGCGTGTGGTGCAACAGTCTCTATGTGGGGGCAGGCAAACATAGAAATAGAATAAATACATAAAATCTGAAGAAAGGGGTTTTGGATCTGTCCTTGGGTTACCTCCATAAAAGCATCTGTGTTTACTGCTGCTAGGTAACAGCCACTTTTATAGAGAATCAAATGGGTTGGGATGGCCAGGGAAGTTTTAGATAAAGGACTTCTTTTACTTATAGTCCGAGAATTTGATATTAAATGTGCTGAATCTTTTTTTCACTCTGAACATTATGTGCTTAGGAGGAGTAAGTACAATAGCGAAGTGTGGAGACGTTTAATGAGATTTGATGAAATGTGAGAATGTCCACCTCCACTTGTAACAATGACAAGTCTGTCTACCCTGCAGCACGACTCCGCATATACATTTGGGCCATTTAGATGTGTTATATATTTCAATGTCAACTCTACAATTAGACGGCCATGTTAACTGAACTGAATACATTACTTAAATAACAAAATGTCTGAGTAAATACTATGTAAGCATATAATTGTACATATTACGTAATTGTAAGGAAAGCTGGATGCCCAGTGTGATATTTGTAATAAAATACAGTATATACTATGCTACTACTAGTCTCTGTTATCAAGCAAAGTATGGCTAAACCATTGTGATAAAAGACAATAATTTCAAGAAAAGATCATTTTCAGTTACCTCTGCTCATACACTGAAAATGCCCAAAACTAAAGCCTGAAAACTTGTTGATACTTTGTTGGGGAATTGGACAGAGCATGTAACTCCAGGTACTCTCACAGCAAGCTCCAAGCCTGGATTAAGAGTTTGCATCTACTGGGACATTTTCTTTCACTGTTTACATTATCATATCTATCCCCATGGAAATAAGCAAGTGGTGTCACAACAACTAACAATAGCAACAGCATGTTGCTAAAGCAATGAAGACTGGATCATAACAAAATTATACCATACAGTGGACTATTTTTTGAAAAATAAAAAAATAATCAAAAACATCTCCTAGGCAGGTGTTTCCAGATATCCCAGCTACTGTTTTGCAATATATTATACTTAGAGATATTCAGTCTGGTGGTGTTTTGGTGTTTTGTTGCCATGAAATATAAATACATCTTTCAATCTGTAAATTTGAGAAGTGAGACTTAAAGTTAGCTAATTCATTTTGGTGCTACTGTTCATCCATCATGCTGATGAAATAACACAGAGCTAATGACATTGACAGTGCAGATGGATGCGACGGAGATGTCAGAGGAGTTGAGATGTACTGCTAGTGTCACAGTGCCATCTGGCCCTGGGTGACAAAGCATCTGCCCTGCCTTAGTGGGACTCCTCTACTATCTCACTCCTCTACTGCCTCACTCCTCTACTGTCTCACTCCTCTACTGTCTCACTCCTCTACTGCCTCACTCCTCTACTGTCTCACTCCTCTACTGCCTCACTCCTCTACTGTCTCACTCCTCTACTGTCTCACTCCTCCACTGCCTCACTCCTCTACTGCCTCATTTCTCTACTGCCTCACCACTCTGAGGTCACTGCCCAGAGTACTACACTGCCTCCAGGCTGTTCTGAGCGAGCGAAGTTTAGTCTTTTATAGCTTTGTCAATAAAACCTATACTATATCATCATTATTGCGGAGTAAGATTTCAATGGCTTCGTAGTAATCTCATCAGTCTTAGTAAGAATGGATTGGAAACCCTCTACACTGCACTATACTTTTTCTTCACTTCAAAATTACAATTTATGGTGGTAAGGCATTTATGAAGCTAAGGTTTGCCTTGGAACTGACTGATAGATTTGGTTGGCATTCTGTGCCATCAGCTAATAAATACGCAATCATATTTTTCCCTGCATAACAATCAAATACTGTTCACGGCTCATTTCATTAACAAGACAGGCATTTAGTCAGTACCATTTAACAGAAAAATACAATCAAAAAGTCTGAAATCTGCCATTATTGACCTATCCTTATCTTGTTTCAAACATGACTCTAGCCACAGCCATCCCATCAGCAGAACCAGTGACACAATACAGGCTAAATGGTGAAGTGTCTTCTATAAGGATGCCAGTAAGCAAATTGAATACTGGGTATTAAACTTTGGCCAGTCTCACAAAAAATACAGCTGACATTCTGTGCCAATATTCTCTAAAAACTGTGAAATCACATCTTCACACTAATGCAGGCAAGTTGATTGAAGTGCCTTGCACAAGGGCTGAGATAAAATCACCAGTGACAAGTTGTGAATGTGACTAACATGTGCATATTTCCTTTCCAAGGTGAAAATGTTTTGTCGATGCCAGTAAACATACCCCGCGAGCCAAGTTGAGCTGTAGTGAGGTTAAATTAAATCCTTATTTTTTTTCTAAAAGCTGGCAACTGTGAACTCAGGCCTTTAAGTGAAGCGCACAACTCTGGCTTAGTCAGATTACACACAGCGGTAAGTAAGCAATAACAGGAGTGAGCAGAGGACACAGTAAGCAGAGAGGCAGGGAGCAGAGCTGTGCCTCCTGCTCCTCACCACACAAATCTCCACTCTGAGATGCCAAGCCTCACAGTAGAGCTGCCAAGCCGGGCTCACTGTTAAAGGGGATGTTAAAGAGATGAGTGTCTGGACAGAGAGGGGCACAGCTGCATGTTTTATTTGGCTGTGGCGACAGACTGCTGCAGGCCCATAGTGCAAGGCCTGGACCACTCACAGTAACTCAGATCTTATTTTCTATTCACCATGCAACCAAAGCACACGTCTGCATGACATCCAAATTCATCCTCCATATCTCCTGATCTCAACAGCCTTTTTAAATGTTCCACTTGAGACACTTCTAAAAGGTCCAATATTATGCAAAACTGACTCATGTAAACTTTAAGCCCTGTTAAAATATTGTTAATTCCTCAAAAACATACCTGGAATTGTGGTTTGTTTCAGTCACACAAGTTTGAGTAATCTTGTATTATTAGTCTGTCTACATCTCTAAAGTTCAAAATGCTCTAGTCCCCCTTGTGACATCATCAACTAGTTTCAAGTTAGCATCTATGTATTTATCTTTTATTCAGTAGGGATTCGCAATTCCAGATCTGAAATCATCCAAATGATTCTAATGAAGGTGTATGGAGTCTAAAAACACTTTGGAGCACTTCCCGTATTACCACATGACATCACAAGGTGGACCAAAGTGTAGTCTATTTGAGAGAAGAACTCTCTCAGAGTGTATATGTAGACTTATTGAGTTAAGTATGAGTGAATGAAACAAAACAGAAGTCCAGGTATGTTTTTGGTTAGGAAACAACTTTATAATCAGGGCGGCACTTCATGGGGGGCGCAATAAGCACTTGAGGGAAAAAAAAAGCTCCCCCTCCTGTTTTTTTTTTTCTCATGGGGGAAAATGATTTTTTTGCCATAATAAAGGATAGATATTACTACCAGGGCTTATACAAATGTGTTTATAATTACAAGTGCTGATGTTTGATGTTTGCATTACATTATAGTTTATTTTCAACCAAGATTACTACTGACCAGTTTGATACTTCTTCAAATGCTCCCACAATCTTTGAGCGTTTTCACAAGTGTGAAAAGCATCACTTGTTTCTTCGTCTATCACAGGACTATTTGTCAGCAAAAACTCAATGTCCTTCACGAATGGACTCCTCAAGCTGTTCAAATATGAAGTTTTAAATGTATTGTTTCATTACTGTATAGGTGGGAACACAGTGGCCTTATCTAATCATCAATTTTAGAACTTAAAGCAGGCGGCAGTAGTGTTGCAAAAACAATTGTGTAAAAGTATTTGTGTGGAGATGTGTTATGTTGACGGAGTTCTGATCCATATTCCCACTGCAGCCCCACACTGTTCACACATATGGAGCAGATGCTGAGGAGGAGGAAGCCTTCTTCTCATCCTCTTAGCCAAAGCCTAGGATTTATATGTTGCTAATAATTTCAAGGTTATATACAGTTGTACAGTATAAGGTACAGTATAATAGATGCCAGGATAGACAAAATGAGTGGGCCATGAATATACTGACTCTTGCATTTATGTATGTATATATGTATTTATGTACATATTTATTTATATTAATTGTTGATTCATATTTATTTAGTGACCCTTAATCAGTCGTCTTTCTCCAATCTCACCAGAATCCATTAAATCTAACATGTTAGCACTATAAATGTGTTCTTCTTGGCTTATTTCTCTTGAGCCAGTCAGCAAAGTCCTGTCCAAACACTGAAGTCAGTGTTAATGAGCTGTGATGGTGGAGGAGAGTCACATGGATTAGTGAAACAACATGGTGCCCAGAGTGTGGCTGCTCCCTCTGTCTGGAGAGCAGGATGTGTTTAAATCCTGCAATGGTTTTCTTGTAGTAGTAATAATAAGAATAATAGGCCCATATCTTGCTCTGTCATAACATGTAGACAAATGTATGTAAATTGCTTTGTCCATAATGGTTATTAATAAAAGTAGAAGGGAAAAGAAAGCAAGAAGAGTATTTACTTACGTGATGCTGTTTGAGAGAGCCAAAGATCAATCACCATGGAAAAGAAAAGAGAAAAAGTACTTTTAGCTATTGAAAAGAATTGCAAATTTTTAAGATAAAGATTAAGATTAAGTATGTTATAAAACTGAGTGAGTGTGAGAAGCAAGTAGAGACATGAATAGAACAGAAGGAAATGATTATAGCAAAGATTGGGCAAAGGTGCTATGTTAAAAAATATTTTTAAATTGTGCAAACATTTACATCCATTTCATTTTACATAGCAGATATAAGTACATGTAATGTACATTCAGTTTGCAGATGTGGGCAGTTTGGTTATAAGCTCTAAGTGTGACAACATCAACATCAACAAGTACATTTGTATCGAAAGAAAAAAATGTATTGACCAAGTTATCAGTGTGATAGATTGTCTTCCTTAGGTGGTCCACAAGCTGACTTTTATGGCTAACTCAAATGAGAATCAATAGCCACCTTCAAAGCAGCCCCATTGCCACGTATTGAAGAAATAGTTGCCAGTTGTGTGAGGCATGCAATTTGTACCTAATGGCCTAAAACATGCACAAACATAGGCATGGCCCATTTAACAGTGCTGACAACACAGTAATCTGACATTTCATGTGTGGACAGGGTGTCTATATGTAAATTATATGTTGGATTAAAGATTGCATACGTACGCCTGCATGGTTGTAGTGGCAGTCTGAAAGCTGAACATGTTTTCTTTGGGATACCAGTTGGAGTCATCTGCAGATATAGAAGGAGCAGTGTTGTAGACAAAGAGCCACTTTGGCAAATGTTATAATTCATATTGTAGAAAAAATGAGGCACAAAACAAACCAGCACCAGACTTCACAGTCCACCACTCCACAAATGGAGAGAGGGAGACACAGGAAGAGAGAGCAGAGTGCAGAAATGAAGACCACTATGTCACATCCAACATCAAGCCCACAGCATGAGATGAAATAGATTTGATTGAATCTGACTAATATGTACATTGGTGATCAAATTACCATCAAAATGTAAAAAATGTAAAGCAGAAAGGTTGGTTCATGTTATGACTTATATTTCAATAAAATAATGCTAACATAATGACTTATCTAAGATCTGTACAGCAAGATGTTGTACCAGAAATAATGTCCCAGTAATACCAATGATTGAATAGACCACACTGAACATCCTAACATCCAGTAATTGTAGAGTCAGTGCAAAAAAAAAAACATTATTTGTAGGACATTGCATTGTTGTACATTACTTTGCCTCTGTGCACTGCCTTTCAACAAAATGTGAAATATGAATAACTGTTCAAAATTACTACTAAAATTGTGTCTAATGACAACACTAATGCATACAAAATAAGTTGATTTGTTAAATATATATGACAATTTGTAGACAACTTATTAAAAACAATGGTATAATATAACTACAATCACAGTAATTGTATTCAAGGCAATTCTGTTCTAATGAGAGCAGTCAAATGCTATTTCATCTCTATTTGGAAACCCTTTTGTCACTGGCGGATTTGCATGGCTGCCTAATCTGCATCAAACAGGTGGTGCGAGTGTTTGGGTTGGTCTGCCACTGAACTGTAAGGTGGCAGACGCCATTTAGACAAACAACATTTTTCACTGTGCCACCTACTTCACACTACATACAAAATTATTAGTGTGATTAGCATTCAATAAAGGCTTTGCCAGATTGAATAACAATACAGATATGAGGCCAAAGAAAACTTCAGCCAGAATTGTAGCTATGATTGAAAATGGAGCTGGATTGAGGTCAAAGGTGATTAAATCTGGATGACACAAAATGCCCACAAATTTAAAGGGCCTGCACCTGATTTCCCACATGAACAAAATTTATCTTGCCCCAGTACAGATGTTTTGTGTAAGTAGCTCAAAATAAGCCTGGGGTAAGACTGTTGTGTACTGCCTGCATATAGTGATAAAGCAGATTATTGTCTCAGAATCAGGAAGTTTGTGGAAGCATGCTAGCAGTTGTTAGCTTTAGTGTCACAGTAAAACTCTGCACTGCTCTCACCGATTTGTGGAAAAAAATAATTAAATGACTTTATAAGCACTATAAAGTCATTGTGGTGATTAATTAGGATTATCAGAATGCATAAGGTAAGTGAGGAGTAACTCACTGTTTAATGAACTGTTTAAAATGAACTATGTCATGCGTAGTTGTAAAACAGTTCCTTTTGACTGTTCCTTCTGACTGTACCAGACTTCTCATGTAATAAAGTAAAATCTGTTTGCCCAAGTACAGCTGTATTGTCAAAATGAGACCATGGTGTGCCTTTTGCGTCAAATTATAAAATAATTTTTACAGTCTGTGAACCAGGAAGTAGCGCTCTTAGCAAGCTTGTTGTTGTTAGTATCATGGCAGCAAAACTTTGCTTTGGCGATGAGAAAAGCACTTTTAACTTTTTTATAAATTCATAGCTGTAATTAGTTAGGGCTCTCGGAATGCATAAAGAAAGTGAGAAATAACTTTGGATCTTTGCAAACTGTTTAAATTAACTCCTTATTTTATGATTATGGATGATACAAATCTGGTACAGCACCTTTAAGATAGTGAGATGATTTGGCTTTTTTTTTCACCCAGATTCAAGCCCATAAACATTGATGACACTATCTGGGTATAACAAATGCTACAGGCTGCCATTTCATGTTGTTTGTCCAACTGGTGCCACCATATCCAACCTAACATCCCTATTTGTTATACATTTCACACATCAGGGTTCATGACTTGGGTTAGCGATATCCCCAGCCATTCCCTACCTCCACCCCCTGGTTTGGACTCCCGCTCCTCTCCTCCTCCTCCTCTTCCTGTGTCGTGTGCCCTCTCACCTCTCTCCAACCCAGTCATCCGGTCCACACTCCACATGCGCTCTAGCCGCCGGTGGTGCTTGCCTGCCTCTCTGGATGCGCTCTCCAGGTCCAAAGACCCCTGGCTCCTGGACGGGGCCCCACCTCCGCACGTCTCGCACACCAACGACCCGCTGCATCCCTCTGAGTCCCCCTTGCCCCCCTCCCCCCAGCTGCGGATGTTATGGGCGCTGACAGAGGTGTGCAAGGGCGGCTGGGATAGGTGGTGGTGGTGGTGGGCGTGGTGGTGCGTGGCGTGGTGGGGCGTGGGTTGGTTGCCGCTCCCGCTGCTCGACGACGCGCTGGTCCCCGGTGACAGAATGGTGGTGGTGAAGGCCATGGTGGTGGTTGCCATGGTGATGGTGGCTACTGCTGGTCCCGCGGCTGCCGGCCTGGTACTGAAGAGGTGACGAGGAGTTGGACGAAGGCAAACTGGACGGTTGTATCAAGTTGGAGACTTGACTGCTACCACTTTTACTCCCGCCCGCTGCTTTTTCTTTGAGCACATCCAGTTCTAAGCTCTCCTTGTTGCTCATTAACATACTGTGCTGGCTGGTGATGGTGTAGACTCGTGCCGGCTGTAGCGTGCACTCCACTGACTTCTGCTGGTCCTCTTCAGCCGAAAAACTGCGCTCCAGAGACAGACGAGATGGGGTCCTGGCAGAGATGGTGATAGAGGGAGGAGGTGGGGGCGGCTGGAGTATGGCCAGGGGGGACTTCAACAAGCCAGGCTCACGCGTGGCCTCGGAGCCCTCTGCGCTCGATCGGAGGTTGTTGTTGTTCTTAGGGCCAATCGTGTCGCTCTCTTGGTCCGGACCCACCGACGTTTCACACAGCAGATGAGCTAGAAAGAGAGAGATAAAGGGTGTTAACAAGCAAAAAACAACAAGAAAAGATTTGAGGATGGAACATACAGTTGTGCTCAGAAATACACCACCATTAAAGTGACATTTAGTCAAAATGTCAACTGCAGATTGATGTAAATGTACTGAAAAGCTCACATACTCTAGGCACGCGTATTATTCTGAGCACAAGTGTACCGCTCGCATCATTCTCGTCAGCTATAATGGCAATGCTCATGGTCTCAGCTCTGGCGTTTGAGTAGCAGAGTATGAGTTGGTGGAGACTGGGGAGGGAATGATAACTATGATGGCAGGAAGGACCATGGGCGAATGGAGGTGGCAGTGAGACGCTGACCTGATCCGTTTGGGTTTTCAGGGTGTGTGTGGGACAGGTACTCTCCAAATGCTCGCGCTGCTCTGTGGGAACACATACACACCACACATGTAAAGACATTTAATATGAGCAGGTGCACAGGGAGAAGAGGGTACACAGAAGGACAGGGACGAGGAATAACTGCTGACTTTTTTTCCCCACATATGTTCCTAGAGGACACTGGATTGGAAAGATATATTTATGTTAAAGACCTTTCAAGTAAAAGTTGTAGCAGTAGTTGATTGATTTCAAAACCTTGTTATTGACCTTGACCTTGCTTATTTCAAAAGTTTTCACTACAAGCCAAACACTAAACATTTGAAAATAGCCTCTCTATGGGAGCAGTGCCCAGATGACAACTGCTGAAACCTTCTCTACATTGAATCACTCCTAAAAGAATGAAAGATTACACCATCTGATTAAACATTTTACAAAAATCAATGTATATTGAGTTGTAGAGACTTTTCTCTAGTTCTCCATTTACTTGATTGGGATACTTGATTAGCCAGAATGAAATAGATCAATTTGCAGACATTTGCAAGACAAAATCTAAAACAGAAATATGTTGTTTGATTTGAAAGTCAGGTTAAGCCTTACCTACGTCACACAGATCACTTCCCAAGGGAATATACGAACACAAATCTTGGCCTTGAATTCAAATTGGTTGACTAAACACTCGTCAAATAGGAACAGAGGTCTAACAAAGCTCAAACACAACTTCAATCAGGCAATTAAAAAAAAAACATCTTTTGCACAGCTTGAAAGCCCAAGCAGCATTCACAGTTTGCTATGAAGAAGGCTCTATAATGGCTCCATGCGTCCACAGATGTAGCTGAGGTAGTAAATAGCTTTTCAAAGTAATTTTCCCTTTTGATAAACTTGACACTTTTTGTAGATTCCTTGGAGTGGAAATTTTGCTGAAAACCTCTTAGTAAAATGATTTTGAAGTAACAGTACTTGTAGTAGAGACAGTGAGTACCTCTTACCTTTCTGGAAATGGGGGAGAATACTTGGTTAGGATTAAAATGCAGCTGTGTTATCTTTGCTCTTCAGGCAAGCTCAGAAGAACACTCCTACTGCTTTATATGACCTTGATTATAACGACAAGTCCTTATTCTATTTGTCTATGGTAAGAGAGTGGATATAAAGCATATAAAAATATTCATAACAACCTCACAGCTCAGGTTAAAAATAACTAAGCACATTCCTCCAACGTTGATATTGTTTAATGTCATGGAGGATTTCTCCTCATAGAACATAGCCCTCGGTGTAGGGGCTGCAGCTAATGGCACTGACCTCTTCAGTGTGCAGTGTGACAAAGATAGAGAAAAATGAAATGGGAAAACGGGGTTAGGAAAGATGAATAACCATGATCAGGGCAAAGCTGGAGGAAATGCACTGCAGCAGAGACTATTATGGATGTCATTAGTGTTAGTAGTCCAGAGAAGACTGGGGTAAAGGTGACTCAGCCTAATAGCATCTGCTTCTGTTTGTTCCAGACAGCCTCCAAAAATACATTCAGACAATTAGGTTGATAGAGCCAGCAAAGAATACTGAGCTAATGCGTAATGGCACTCCAACAAAATGAGTTTATGGAGACAGGAGTTATTTAAATATGCTTTAGGTCATGGTTCAAAAAGAAGAACACTGGCTGCCTGTGGCTTAGCAATGATGTTTTACCAAAGTATTTTGAGAGCAGCTCTTCAAACAGCAGGTGATCACAGAAAGTGGGAAGATTCAAATAGTATTTCATTACACAAACTAAAAAGTCAAATTATTCAAATAAAACTAAGTCTGTTCACTTGCATATGTCAGTATTTCCAAATTGAAGAAAACTGTAAACATTAGGGCTGTGTAGTTAATAAAATGTTGAATTGTGTTATTCAGTTATTACTCTATTAATTCACAAAATGAATGTAATAAAAAATATAATTGATTAACATCTGTTTAAAATGTTGTGTGTCCTTGTTCTGTCAATCAAAACCTGCAAAGCCACTTTTCTAATTTATAAGAAAGGTATTTTTAATGGAATATTGCTTTTAATGGAATGGAATGGAATATTACAGTCCCTTATATATAGTGATCTATTTTTAGTCATATAAGTCATATAATGTGACCTTATATGCCCCTAGTGATCTATTTTTAGTCATATAAGTCATATAATGTGACCTTATATGCCCCTAGTGATCTATTTTTAGTCATATAAGTCATATAATGTGACCTTATATGCCCCCCTCTTCCACCCAGGCATTACTGTGGAAATTGACGTACACATTGAAGCACAATATACTGCTGAAGAAACTATACACAATAAATGATAATACTGAAACTAATTCATGCCGCTGACAAAATAAATCTAATGTACAATTATCAACAAAAAATATCCTAAATCTGCAATCAAATAAATACCAGAATTAAACAACTTCGTAGGTAGTTTGTATCTATAATGAGTCATAGAAGTTATTTATCCAAACTTCTACAGCTCAAATCTAAATGTAGAATAGAATAGAATAGAATAGCAAAATGTTCTCCACTGGTACAAAGAAAAAGTACTCACTATTCTGTATTGACCCTGAAAATATATTGTATTGTATTGAACGATAACTCAGTATAGTAATTATCATGAAAGGTTTAGCCCTTAATACTGTTCTATTTGTGTCCTAGCTCATACGCATTCTAAAACAAGCACTTGACTTTTTGACACTGGCAACACATACCAAGATACACTGTTATAGGCCAAAGCTTTTCTGTAGCTTGAATTTATACCAGTGAATTATCCATGAGGTTTAAGTTGGCCTATAGCTCTTAAAATACTCCTATGTTTACATCACTGGCACCATTTGTATTATAGCAGTGATGGCATGGCCTTACACTGTCATGAAGCACAGAGGAGTCTCTTGTACGGGGCAAGTCAGTGGGAGGATGCTGAATTATTGAAGTACTTCCTCCACCACACCAGACAGACAGGCACATCTTTACTTAGACAAACACCTGAACTATGTAGGCAAAGATTTAACCTTCAGATGCACATTCTTTTTTATGACTAGTCAAAAAGAAATCCAAGAAAGCCAAAAGTTCAAGAAGCTGATTTTGGGAGTCTCTCTGATTTGATACTATTTTACCAAGCATAATTTAGCATTCCACTTCTGTTCTCTTCAGGCTGACATTTTCAAAGTAACAGCTTTAATCCTGCACCAACAAAGGAGCTTTTTGTGGTTTAGGCTGATCCCAGACAGATGACCTTCACCCTTTGTTGCAGATCTGTTTATATCAGAACAAAAAGATTAAACTGCATAAAATCACAAACATCTTTGGGTTTATATGGTGAAACCAAACGTGATCAGCTGTGTTGAAAATGAAGTGAATGAAGAAAATTAAGTGACGTTCGGAGGTTTACTTCCATATCTCCTAAATGTTAGAGCAGGACAAAGATATATATAAAATATATTTCATTTAGCATCTTATTATGTTGATTGGAACAATATCTGAGACTGATTTGCTTTCTATAGATTCAGAATTCAATGCAGAGACACAAGAAGGTTTCTAGTCCAATTACCAGAAGATAGAGAAAGATGGTAACCAAATGTAATCTCTTCAATTGTTGTACAAAAAAAGTTGTTCAAATCTTACTAAAGCATAGTTTAAGTGTAAAGTAAGTGCAAAGTTTTAGTAGATGATTTACATAACCACTCCAAGCTCCCTAAATGCCTAATGAGAGGTTTAAGTGTGGCAACAACACAGCATGATAACAGTGATCTCAGAGGCAGGTCTCTATTTGAGTGTCAATATACTAGTAGTTTCGTTTCTTTTCTGTTGCTCAAACAAATAAACTAAACTAAGAACCAAACGTACAGGTGTCACATGACTGGTAAGTCTGAAATGTTAAGCCTGAGGCCCACACTCACAAATGTGCACAGCTATTTAAATTTTGTTACATAGGAATATGCTCAATACTCAATACAGATTCCAATACCACAATGATAATAAGAAACACTTTTTAGACAAAAGAATGTGATTTTCAACTAATACATTAAATCATAGTACTTCCTTTTGCATTACCATGTGGTCTTATATCTGTCATCCAGGCAGGTTCCAGTGGTCCATGGGCATATACTAGTCTATGTGGTCTAATACTTGTTCTAATACAGCTCAATATCATTCTAAAGCTATTCAGGACTTAAATGTGACTGAAATATCGATACTTTGTCAAATGTGTATCTAGATTCGATACTAGTTTTATCAGTTAGTATCTGATTTTCAATACTTTTGACATGTTCATTTACTAGAAAAAGTTGAAAACGATGTGGTCATAATGTTGTATATAAGATATAGTATTTTAGATTCCATTTCATCGAACGCTTCAGCCTTTTTCCTTTTTATCACTGCACAAAAACAAATCAATACTTCTTCTGAGTTCTGAGCACATTTTGGACGCAATCTGCTTCTTACGCCACTTCTAAATATAGCTCTGTATACGCAACAAGTCTTGTCACAGCACATTTGCAGAACTGCATTTCTGACTATGGCAACTCCTGCTGTTTTAAATACCTCTGTACTTCCAGTTAAGAAAAAAGGATATCAAAACTCACAAGCAACAAAACAAATGCATTGAAGTGTGCACGGTGGCTACTCTAACCGGTGGATGTGCGCTGAATAAGGACTACAGTGTAATCTGCAGGTGTCCATCAGAACCTCCAGACAATTTCATTTGGCCCCTTTCTCTTTTATAATTCAACAGGCAAGGCCACTCTTATTAGCATCCACAAACAGTGGAGCAGAGACCCACAGCATTCATTAAACATGAGCTGGAAGAAGCAAAATGACTCTCCGCACATCTATTAAACAAACTCTTCTTCTGTTTAGCGTGGCTCAGATGACCCCACTCACTGTCCCTGTATGAGGATCATGTGTGCGACCACTTGGTGAAGGCTGAAAACAAAAGTGATGGAGGGAATTGGAGAAGAGGTGGACATGCAGATATGAAATCCATCCGTGACAGTGGAGAAGGAGAAAGTACAAGGCATGCAGGGAGTGAGAGAGGACT